CTACCCGGATTTGAACCCGGGACCTTTGAATGAGAGGCCAACACCTTAACCTCTAGGCCACGAGAGCCCCCTAGTTTTTGTTTTGTTTCTGATGATGATGATGATGAAAATTATGATATTATTGTCGTTGTAGCTGCAGATGACTATGATGATGAAGATGTTGTTGTTGTTGAAGTTGTTGTTGTTGTTGTTGTTGTTGTTGTTGTTGAGGATGATGATGATGATGATGAGGAGGAGGAGGAGGAGGAGGAGGACAAGGAAGAGGGGAGGATGATGGTGATGATGATGATGATGATGATGATGATGATGATGATGATGATGATGATGATGATGATCTCAAAGTTTTTTTTCCCAATCTTGACCAGGGGACGCAACTCCTATGGACTTGTGGGACCACAGAGGTTGGCCCAAAATCCCTCAGAACTGGGGCAAGGCGGAGCCAGAAATACTCACCCCTCACCTTCTGAGATATCTGAATGGAGAGTTCATGCCCAAGTTTATCGTCCAACTGAGAGAGCCAGTGGAGAGGTTGGTGTGGGTGACATGGAAGGGGGGTGGGGGTGGGGTTGTTTGTTTGTGTGTGTGTATGTGTGTGTGTGTGTGTGTGTGTGTGTGTGTGTGTGTGTGTGTGTAGCGTGTTGTGTTTTGTTTTCAACAGACACATACAGGGTGTTGCGTTTTGTGTTCAAAAGATACGTTACATTCACTGTATTTGTATTGTGTTTGTGTTCCACAGATACATACGACGCTGTGACACTTTGCGGAGGCATGGGACAGAACATGATGCCGTGTGCTGGAGTCTATGAAATGATCCGAGTCGTCAAACCAGGTGAGATGTCGAACGAGATAGTAGACCTCTCCATTTTTTGGTTGTTTCAGTTTATGCCGAAGAAAGAGAAGCAATGGGAAAGAAAAAGACCCCCCCCCCCACCCCTCCCAACAAAAAAACAAACAACCCGTTTTGGCTGCTGCTACAAAATGATTCATCAACAGGATATAAATTTTCGATAATTTGTAATACATTGTAATTGAAGAAGACTATCAAAAGCCGTTTTCTTGGAGGTCATAACCAGTCTTTTCTCGAGTTTATGAAAAGAGTTGAAAATGTTCTTGTGCTCATGATAAGGTTTGAAAGCTTTCTGGGCACGCTTCGTGTAATTTTTTTAGAACTTGACTCTTTGCAAGGACGTTTGGCTGAAGGGGGAAATCTTTACAGTACAGAACGGCGAGAAAAAACTTTGGTTTGCTTCTCAGATTCGAGCCTCAGGCTGCAATGCGTTATATGGGGTGCCCACTAAGGATGGGATCGGCCGATCGGGCCGATTGCCCAACTTGATCGCCTAAAAAACGAACGTGTTCGTTTTCAGTTTCAGGCGATCGAGTCAGGCGATCGACCCGATACAGC